GGACCTCTGCCCTATAATCCTGTTGTTGTTGTTGTTATGTGCCCTCGAGTCAGACCCAACTCATAGCGACCCCTCCTTGGGTTACCAAGGTGGTATCACTACGGAAGTAGATTGCCCGACCTTCCTTCTGAGGAGTGGCTGGTGGGTTTGAACTGCCAGCCTTCTGGTTAGCAGTCAAGTGCCTTAGGCACTATGCTCAAACTAAAAATGGGGGTTCTGAGGATGGAAACAATACCATCTGAGCTAACCTCTGCTTCTTTTCTTAGGTGTTTGAAATGTTCATTAATCCCGGAGATAATATCATCCTAGATGAACCTGTATATCCAGGAACACTTCAAGCTGTGAGTACTCATTTCTACAAAAGTCTCTCTTTATTAAAATAAAAAGAAATGATTGCACATTTAGAATTATCTCTGTCCACCAAAAAAAAAAAAAATGGCATCTGTCATCAGTAAACAGGAGAACTCTAAATTATATATGTAAAATATATTGTGATAATTAAGGTTGTGTGTCAACTTGGGCAGACACAACTTAAACTGAGTGATTTAAGCAGCTGTGGTGTGGTCGCTCTCATGGTGAGATCTGATATAAGGTAATCACCTCCATGGTAGGATATGCTTTGAGTACCCAATCAGTTGAGAGGGAGTTGCCTCAGGCATGTGGCTTCTAATATATATATATGGACGTCCTGGAAAAATTCTGAAACTTTGTTGGATTTGGATCCTGCTGTACTGCCTACTGTTCTTGGGTTCATCAGCTCCTGCAGCTGCATGTGTCAGGAAAAGCCTCCACCTTGACTTTTGACCCTTGAACTTGGGACATGGCAGCCTCTACAACTGTGTGAGCCATTTCCCTGAGAGAAATCTCTGTCTTTCTCTGTCTCTCTCTGTCTGTCTGTCTGTCTCTCTCTCTCTCTCTCTCTCTATATATATATATATGTATTTTTAAACTGGTTTCTCTTCTCTAGAGAACCTAGTCTAAGACATATATATTAAATATATCCTCTGCTTTATGAATGCATTTTTTTTTTATTGTTGTTGTTATACTCACAGTTCATTACAGAAAGATTACAAAGTAAAATCAGCAAAGAGGAAAGGTCCAAAGTCTGGAGGAAACCAGGTACAAGCCCCAGATATCCCCTCCCAAGAGAGTGTCATGGTATGCACTTAATTCCCCCAGCATTAGAAGCCAAGTTTATAGATGCTAAAGTTACGTTGTGCAAAATCATGGCCAGTTTTCTTAATATTTTATTTGAAATGTGACTTAAATTTACAGAATCTTAGTTTTTCATTATCATCTTTTATTACCATTTGGGGGCTCTGGTGGCATAGTGCCTAAGGCATTTGACTGCTAACCAGAAGGCTGGCTTTTCAAACCCACCAGCCACTCCTCGGAAGGAAGATTGGGCATAGAGATACTGCCCATAGAGATATTCCATAGAGATGTTCCATAGAGATACTGCCTCGGAAACCCAAAGAGGGGTCACTATGAGTAAGGATCAACTGAACAGCAATGAGTTAATTTTTTTTTTTTGTTTCATTAGTGTAACTGTATTCTATATCAATTTAATATAACTATGAGCTAATATGGTATAATTATGATAATCCACTCCAGCGTTAAACTAATGTGACTGTAATATCCCGAGTGAGAAGCTGATCATCTGGCTCTGCAGTGCACTGCTCAGACCATACTGCTAAAAGATTAGTTCATCTGGGGCACCATACTTTAGGATAGATGTGTATTTAAACCAGGAGTCCCTGTGTGGTGCAAACAGTTAACGTGCTCATCTGCTATCCAAAGGGTTGGCAGTTTGAGTCTACTCAGAGGCACCTCAGAAGAAAGACCTGGTGATCTACTTCAGAAAAATCAGCC